TGAACAAATAAAGTTGAGTATATTAATTTCACGAAATACAAAAAATGGGGATGCAGGCTAAATCAACAAATTAATCTCACAAAATAACGAAAAATAAAGGCTGCAAATAGACAGATCTCGTTATAGTGTTGACGAAAATATTCGAGTACCTCCACGAGATTGTAGGAAAGGGAAGTAGGATGAAATTGTGTTCGTTAGAGACTCGAGAGCCTGAGGAGAGGGAAATTCCGCAGGGGTTTCCCCCCCCCATTCTCATTCGATTCACGTTCCCGCGGTCAAAGTTTTAACGGGTGGAGAATCATTATGGTTGGGGAATAACGCAAGAATATAACGGATATGAAGAGTTTCATAGAATATAAAACCTGGCACGATTCAAGGCTGAGGAGGTCGCCCCGCGTATACTCTTTGTCGAGCTTCTGAAACTTCCTGCATCGCGCTTCTCATTTCCTACCTTGTTTACCTTTCTACAGCTGGTGCTGCATTAACGAAATGTCCCGGTACTCGGGGCTGCTGTATCGTATTTTATCATCCAGCTCTCGGCAAACAAGCCATTTTGAACGCGAATAACCCCATTTACATTTTCTCGTTATCGTTCACCGCGTAGGAGTCTCAAAATCTGTTCGGTAATATTTAACTGCGTTTCAATCTCTTTTGGGAGATTTCGGACACCTCGTTGAGATCGACTGGGATTTATTTGAGGATAACCATATAAAAAGGCAGGTTCCTCTGAGAATTTACACGTAAGATGTCCAATAATAATGTAAATACAAAAATAATACATATTTTAAAAGGCAAGAAACATTCTTTCTGTTTAAAAGTTTCTTTAAATATCTATTATTAATATTAATTAATAGTATTTACATATTGTGTTATCAATAATAATGTCAATTGATGTCGATGAATAATAACAGAAAAATTAATTAGAAAAGGACATTATACTTTTTCTTTTTTTAATTCTCAAAGGAGCCTCTTTGTATCCTTAATATATTATTATTACGTCAAAATCGAAAAAACCCGAATGGTTTAAATGAGAAGATGAAAATGGCACTCGTCCAACATTGAACGTATCGCGAAAACAATCGAGAACATATTCGAAGCGACGCAAGTGAAGGTAATTTCTCAACGCGTTACCGTGGATTCGTTCGACAGTTTGTTTCTGACTCGTTTCAACCCTAGTAAATTAAATATTTTCCTTCGACGCATCATGTACCCACCGGATGGTTCGCCCGCTAAATTTTCCCACCATAGTTTCGCTACTATTCGCGCTCCGGAATACCGAATCCGCGGGAACCGAAATTGGCGACGCATCCGTTTCCATCAGAGGCGCGCGAAAATCACGTTATTCATTACAGTTAATACCAAATCGTTCCGATAATTTGCCAAGCTAATTCGAAATGCGAACTTGCCCCCGCGAATTTCACGGGAACGCGTCGGCAGCGACGCGAAAAATATCGTCATTAAGTTCTCGGTAATTTCGACACGCGAAAAGGATATCCTCAAATTAAGCCTGTAATTTTAATCGAGACACACCTGGTTTAATTTTAACATCGTGAAATTAGCACACTGGCGTATTTTAAAATCGAGCAACGAAATAATAACTTTTCAATGATTGCTCGTGCGATATAAATAAACAATGCATTTTAGTACAGATTTTACCAATTTTAGGAAACGTTGAATGCGATTCAGTTTCAATGACTCGTCTGGAATTCAAACGTTCACCCTTGGATAGTTCCAAGGAAACACGATCTGCGAACGCGAGAGATGTAACACGAGTCATGTTCCTCTACGAGAGAGAAATATCATTAATTTATCAACAGGCTGTCTAGAGAAGTGTAACGTGCATACACTTCCGCGTTGCGAGATGCGCAAGGTGTGCACGAACGCTTCCCCGAGTCTCCCAAAGTATACGCAACATTGACGTGTGCGTTGCGATACACGTGTACGCCCCCGCGCGAAACCAGGCTACATTCAGAAAACTGGGAACAATGGTGCGCGTGCAGCAACAACGCTCAAAGCTTCGTTGTGCATCGCGTTCTGAACGCTATATTCCTCTTTTCTAATTTTACAGAGCACGTCGGGACGCGCAATAACATTTTTCTATCGTCGATTGATCGCCTAGGCTTTCGTTCGAAAAATCTAAACGGAGAGATACTGTTCGGATAAATGATACAGATTTTAAGAATATTCGAAGAAAAGTTAAGGACCCTGATCCTTGATATGATTGTTATTTTTCATTATTATTATTATTACTTCATGAATTTTATTTTTATTCGATACTCATACTCATTTCGTACGTCGCGAAAGAACAAAGCTGACGTTTGTTTGTTCAGTGTACTGTTGTACGATTAAAAGATGATTTTAATTGAATATCAAACGACTGTTTCGCATTCTCAGGACGAAATGTGTACGAAGTACGAACGGTACGCACAGTAAAAGCAATATTTACAGTGTAAATGTAATTGAAGTAGCTTCGCTGGAATTGGAGGCTATATATGAAAGCTTAACTTAGAATAGAACGGTTGACACGGTGCTTTGGTATATGCTTCATATGATAATGCTATTTTTCCCCTGTGAATTTCTCTTGAGAACCTTCTGCGGTGCCTGGGGCTGAATTTCCCTATAAAACGTTTATTTCTTGTAAAATAAGCTTCTTGACCCGCGAAGTTAACGATTAGATTAAATGCTCGTTGAAAAGCTTTGAAAAACCGTGACGTCTTGATAAGAAAAGTATAAGTAACTATAAGCAACTATTTGAGAAATATGAATACCTACAATTGGTGTTCTCTTATCGTCCCCAGAGTTTCTAAGAATGTTTTCAGTGAGACATTTTGTAGATTGCTGTTTCCCATGTTTTGCATCATGGGAGTTTTATGTTTATGTTGTTTGCAGTGTCCCTCTATTGTAATATTATGGCAATGTTTGCTTCCGCGAGTAGTTTACGCATGTACAGAGCAAAGAGAATCTCCCTAGAATTTCATGCAACTCAATTTAAGGCGATGTTTCGGTTACGAAGGCTGAATAATCAACTGTATAATTTAATTTAATTAAATGTAAATTGTTTACACATGACCATTCAAGATTTAATTCATAGAGCAGAGGGTCAACTATCCAAATGAATTAAATTCAATGTAACAAGATCGTTTAGAAGATCTAATAATATTATTTACACGATGTAAACACATGACCATTCAAGATTTAATTCCATAGAGTAGAGGGTCAACTATCCAAATGAATTAAATTCAATGTAACAAGATCGTTTAGAAGATCTAATAATATTATTTACACGATGTAAGCACATGGTAATCGACGAGTTGATTCGTACTACGAATCAACGCGTTAACAATGGGTCGATAAACTTGTTGCCTCACTTGTGACGTAGTAGTTCTAGCGTAAAAAGTGAGTCTGTCGTTCAAGCAGTGGAACTGAAATTCTAGGAAGAGTCATTACGATGACAAAGTAGCGTGTGACAGTAACGGGAATAACACGTGGTATTCGTACGTCACACCTTCATCAGATGATGTCAGACACCTGATCGATGGATCTGCGTGCGAAAAGTTAACAAAGCGACAAGCCGGCCACGTTTTTAATCTTAATTACGAGGCTTTCAGCTGTCCTCGTCGCGTGCTATCGGCGGTTTCCGTCGAAACCGTTCCACGCGACAAACCTAATGATGAATTGTTCCGTTTCGAGAATGTCCTTTTCGCGTATCTGTCGTAAAACCAAGCCTGTAATTTTAATCGAGACACACCAGATTCAACTTTGACATTGTGAATGAGGAATTTCTGAATCAAAGGCGCTCCCTGACGTCCCATTCGTAATAAATGCGAGTGTATTAGTTTCGTGTATAGTTGGCACGAAATGCTTGAACTTGGCTTCGACGTTATCGCGTGTCATCCTAGGTACATGACATTTTAAGAATATTACATAGATAAGCTATACTTTGTAATACTTTGTAATACTAATGTTCCAGCCCGACAGGAGGCTGGATACAAATACACATTGTATTTTACTTTTTCAAACAGTTTATCAAATAATATTCAATTTATATTCTTGCATATTGTTTTCATGTCGTAGCTTCTGGCACATTCAAATCTCCTTTGAACGCATAAAGATCCACAGTCTAGTAATAAGTTACCAGATTTCATGCATCTATTATATTAATTTTGGATAATGTAGTTGTCGATCTAAATGAAATTCTAAATGAAATTGTATTTAATGTAATTAACATATACGTAATTAAAATATATCGAGAGATATTAAGTACAACTAATAAATGAATTGTTTGTTTGGGTGAAGAGTGAAGTTCGAAGTATAATGCATAAGTGAAATTGACTCTCTAAAAAGTAAATAAATGACCAGTTGGAAATAAAAAGAACGATTGTTAGCTTCCCCGGCGTGATCGTTCAGGAGTTGTCGTGATTTTGGATAATGTAGTTGTTGATCTAAAAGAGAAATCAATACAATACAAAAGAGTCGGGTCGAAAGGGTTAATGAACAAGAATATAAAGAATCTATTTTCCGATCCACAAAAAAAGAAGGAGTAACCCTTCGAACCAACCACCCCCGCGCCATCCACCCGGAATGGGCAAAACCCTTGACTTCGAATAAATCTGAAGTTTGCCGGTACGTTTGTCTCGTTTCGTTCTTTGGAAAATTTTCAAAAGCATCACTGCCATCCACCTTGGAAACAAATTCCGCCCCCGAAACGACCTACAGAGGACTCGCCATCGTCGTTAAAAAAAAAAAAAAAGGGGGAGGAAAGTACGTTTGAGAGGACGGGACGAGTCCCGGAGCACCGGCACAAACAGGTGTCCGTGGTCTGCCGCGACACGTCGCGTCGGCATCGGTGGGCCGTCCGTGGTCTCGGGGCGCTTGCGCCTCCCGGTGCATCCCTCACGCTCGAGGGGGTTCCTGTTCGTGGGTGACGTCGCACGAGGGGATGCTACTAGTCGAAAAGAAGGGGAGCTGCGTGGAATGAGGGCCAGTGGGCTAGTAGTCCGCGATAACGTCGCCTCAGTAGTTCGTCGGACGTCGCGCGCGGCTCCACTCGCCCAGCTCGCGAGACTCCCGCGAGCGTCGACGACTTTTCCGCGCGGGTACGAGCGGATGCCGCCGCGACGAAGCGTCCCCGTGCCGAGCCGCTCGCGCGACACGTGCTCCGCTGAAATCACCCTGGCGAGAAATGATCGACGTCGGACTTTGGAAAGACGAATTCTGTGATTTTTGAAAAATAAAGGTTGCTTTTACCGTCGACGGCGTTTGGGAGAGTAGAGAGCAGGGAAGGAGGAGGGACGAGAAAATAAGGTTTAGGTTCGGAGAGATTGATGTTCCTAGACATGATCGAATTAGTGGCTAATGACGGCTCTATTTTTGCGAGTATTGTTCTTCTGTTACTTGGTATTCATAGGGTAAAGTTAGAATTTTTCTTGTTGTTGATTTAGAGAGCTTGAGCCCACGGTATATATGTCTCTTGTATCCACCTTTCGGTGAATCTATTAACGATTACTAACATTCTTCGTTATGTATATATATAGATAATTTTAATGACACGGTTAAGCGGTTTTTATAGACGTAAATTTCTTTCAAATTGTAAATGTTAATCCGGTCTTTCTAGATGTCCATGGATGGAATTTTAATTAATTTATTGAAATATTTGCAAAATAGTATTTTCATATTGCTAACAAGTCTCTAATGTCCGAAGTATTCTTGAAGATACACTAGCACAAGTCACTGTGCACAGTAGATCGAGTGTCACTCGGAGGGGCTAGAGGGTGAAAGTGGAGGATCGTTGAGGGAAAGTGGAAAGTTTTCTTCGCAATGGGGTGCGAAGGTGTCTGGTGCGATCGGTTGCATGTGCGTGATCCCCTGTGCTGTTCGACCGCGGTAAAGTTCCAGGTGAAGTTCTCGTGAAAACTCGAGCTGTTGTGATGAAAGTTTCAGTGTCACCCCGTAGAGATCACTTGAGGGATCGAGTAAAAAAAAGAAATGATGATCCTCGATGTCGTTGATCCTCGACGCGCAAGAGTCGCGTGTGGAATTTCTGTCAAGATCTCATTTGTACAATAAAAAGATGTGCAATAAAAAGAAAGAGGAGTTCAAGGTTGCACCGAAGTGAAAAATTGAACATTTTTATTACATATTAATTGTCTGGACGAATGTATATTCTCGAATTTGCATTGCTCTTTGGAGATTTCAACAGATACCATTTCAATTATTTTACATTGAAATCAGTTTGTTGTATTTTTTGTGTACGCAAAATTTACGGACTTCCGCTATTCTCGTTGCGTTGCTCCTTTGAATTTTAACCGAGACCACTTTAATTATTTCACATTCAAATCGCTTCATTCCATTGTTTTGTGTGACAATTTTCAAACTTTCAACAACAAGAATTCTAATACCAGCCTAAATACTCCTCTATCCTCTAATCTCTATTTTCACGTTTGCATTGCACCATGGGATTTCAGCTAAATTCATTTCGATTACTTAACATATAAATCAATATCATTCCTTCGACAATTTCCAAACTCGAAACATTAGGAATCCCGATACCGAACTAAATGCTATTACTAAATACTCCCAACTCCAAAGAAAACTTACTAGAAAATGTAATTAGAGGCTTCTGATCGTATCACCAGGAAAAATGTCCTACGCTCAACATGAAGAATCCTTAGGCTGGTTCTGTACCGCCTGGATCGTTACAATGTAATTTTCCCGCGACTTGCATCGCGCCCCTTTCCCCGTGATTTGCGGTCGTAGAAATCGCGGTCGCGACATTTTTCGTCGTCGTCCACATCGAATATTCAGATCGCAGATTGCACGCAAATAAATTAATCCAGCCGAGTGGCTCTTTGTTTCCTGTTCCGAGCGATTATAAATTGGATTCGTTTATTTCCATCCGTAATGCAGGACCTTACGGGAGAACTACCTCGGTACACGCCACCCCGGAAGCGAATAATGATTATCTTTAGGCGGGAGGCGAGCATCCGTGTTTTCGACATGCGAGCGAATGACGGATCGTAGTTCGCGTAAAATTTAGAGAAACGAAAGAGTCGAATTCTATTCGAAATAATGGTTGCTGCGCGGCTCGAATGAAACAATGCTTTGAAATGGGAAAACAAATTTTCGGCGGTACAAAGTAATTTTCGCAACAACCGTGAAACGGAATATTTGATTTTTAACTTCGTATTTTAAATGTGTACTTCAAATATTTGTTGACGAAAATAAATCGAGTGTACTCGCTATGTCCGTTATTCTCCGAACAAAACCTACTTTAGAAATTTGTTGCGGCAATAAATAATTTCGCGTCGAACGTGGTCCTTAATTTTTATATAATTCTCTTTGTTTTCATTTTCTATTTACTATTAAATATAACGAAATATTTGAAGATAAAACCCTGTCGTTTTCTCCAAACGAAACCTACTTAATAAATTGGCTGCGACAAATAAACAATTTCATGTAAAATATGGTCCTTGATGTTCACGTAACTCTTCCTTTCCTTATTTATCTTAAATAATTTTAACAAATTAACAGAGAAACCACCCTCCATATAGGAGGTTTAATTCTAAAACGTGAGATTGTTCTAATTCACCTACGTCGAGGACGTTGATCAAATGGGAATAAAAATTGCATCGTTTCTTTCGCCTCGATTAATCGATAAACCGCGGACACACGCGTAGGCACGCGACCGAAGCTCGCCTGTCGATACGTCGATTCCAATTAGTTAATCGTCATTTCGCGGTTAAAAGTCTGTCAATGGAAAAGTCGCGTTTCCATCGATTAACAATTGAAACGCATGGCAGAAGCGACGAAAACTTCCCTTTTTCCCTAAACAACACCGACAGGAGTGCTTTTTTAACTAAAAGACAAAATGTTGACACCCCTTTGGAAAAGCTCTTTATTTTGTCGCAAACAAGAACTCTTTATTTTTTCGCAAACGTGTTCACGACGATCGACCTCCACGACGAGCAATTTAGATTTTTCAACGTAACTTTGTTGCTCTTTCTTTTTCCGCTTTGCCCTCGAGATAAAACATTTTTATTATGTTAATAAATTAGAATGGTACGAAATTACCAAGCCTAAAGATAAATTGCGACGATGACCTTTATTTTCGACCTAGCACGCCGTGGTTATCGCCCTCGGGTAACTATAATCGCGAATCGTACCTGGAAATAGTAAAGCGCGGACTTTCACCAATGCTCGAATCGTGCGATCGGTTGAAGTAAATTTGTGTCGATAGTTTCGTGGAACGAAATCGATACATCGCAATCAAACAGGATAAGGACAAAATTATGGAGCAAAGAAATAAATTGCAATGGTGACTTGGCACTATTGTTGTCCCTTTTTAATTTTCTCAATCCTAAATTGTTTCATCGTGTCCATCAAATAAAGAAATAAACTATTTTAATTTTATATTTGTCTTGCTATTCCAAGCTGGCAGTGGAAAGTTAAATAAAGTTGATTATTTAATTTTTAGTGGAAAGATATTATTATGAAAATTTAGTACGACTTAATAATAATTGCAAGTTCTTTCTTCGATTCTTCGATGCCCTTTTCTTAATCAACTCGTTTTCATCCAATTAGAAAAAACGGATCAGCGTATTTTTTCACTTGCTCCTTCAATTCAGTCTAAACGCGGCTGAAGAATATTTAAAGGGTCGTTACTTAATCGAAAAGAAAATTCTTGGAGGTACTTCGGCTAATTGCTTTCTTTGTTGCTTTTCGCACTCTTTCGTTTCCTGCCACAACAACGCAAAATTAAGTGCAACGTAAAATTACTCTTTTGTTATCTTTCGATCGCTTTGTGAAAGTTTTCCAAAAATCTCTGGCGTCTAGAATGTTTAAAAAGAACAACATTTCTTGGGTGACTAATTATTATCGATAATTGGATGAAAACACCTGGACAAAATGATGTTTTGCAAATTACGGTTGAGCTTGATAATTTCGTTCCATTCGAATCTATTAATAACAATAAAAGTCTCGAGGTTGAAGTTGAATTACTGATTTATTATGACGTACAAATATCGAAAAGTGATATCGAGTTGAGATTTCAATATCTCTCAGTAATTTCAAATATCTTGAAGCTGCACAATGATTATCAAAACTTGACTGTATCAATTCATGATAGATAACCTCTTCATCAACATACCAAGAAGCAATGCAAATATAACAGGTTTGAGTTGGGGTAACCGCAAGATTTCAACGTTTGCATTGCTAGCCAGAGTTGAACCCTGGTCTGTCCATATTGACCATAGAATTATATTACGCAGGAGTAATGCTGAAATTCTAATTCAGTGCGTTCTTCGGGATGTCGAGAACTGATAAGAGAAATCACTCGTTTGGCGAATGTCCTCTATACATTGAAGAATATTTCCCTACTCAGAAATCTTCCATGCAGACTTTGAATTAAACAACTAATGCCGTGGTCGATGGATAAGAGTCTGTTCAATGCAATGACGAGTACTTAAATCAATTAAATTAATTAATCGCCTCGAATCGCGAGTAAATTAAACATAAAAGTTGTTCGTCAGTGCGCGCGTTAGTGATAAAAACCGGTGCTCAAGAAGATATCCGAAGAAGAGGCCAAAGGAAGTTTCTCTGAGAAATCGAGGAAAAAGAAGAAGAAGAAGAAACGGATTTGTTGGGGAGGAAGGTGCTATCACGATCCTAGATTAAAGTATCCGAACACATATCTCGAAGGAATCCAAGGAAGAAGGATTCAAGCAATCAAAAAAATATTCTCAAACAGAGCCAAAGAAGAAGCTCGTCCCATAAATTAAAAAAAAAAAAAAGACGAATTCCTTGAATAAAAAAGTGTTTTCATCAATCCAAGAACCAAGCATCCCAGCATCCCAGGAAGTTTCTTCAGGATCTGAAAAACAAAAAGAAAGATTTCTTAAGGAGGAAGGTAACCTGAACGATCCCAGGTCAAAGTATCCAAGCACAGAAAGAACCCTAAAGAAAAAGCTTTCCTCACTCCCTGAAGAAGGATAACGGATTTATCCAGAAGAAAGGAGTCTTCGGCAATTCCAGGTCCAACCATCCAAGAAAATATTCCAAAGAAGAACCAAGGAACCTCAGGAAGTCCTCAGCTATTAGTCCTCTCCATCAGGACCTGAAAAAGAAAGGTATCGGTCAGCGAGGAAGGAGCCTTCGCGATCCCAGATGCTGAAGATTAGGCGGGTTAGCTACTAGGGCAAGCTATTTCGGGCTCAGCGGTCTCTTTGAGCGATGATCGGCTCGTCGATGCCGACGATCGATCGCACGGATCCTTACGAGGCCGTCGTCGACACCTGTTTCGAGGAACTTTTGTTTCTCGGCGGCGCCAACGAGACTAGCGCGGGCTGCGACGCGGTTGCCAGACTGACGGTGTCCGGGATACTGAACGACAGTGATTACGAAGCCAAGACTGCGAATGGGACGCAGCTGGACATCGAGAATAACGGATTGAACAACTGGTGGGCGATGCTGGCTCTCGTCCTCGTACTGGGAACCGCAGCTGGGAATATCTTGGTCTGCCTGGCGATCGTCAGGGAGAGGCGATTGCAGAATGTCACCAATTACTTCCTGATGAGCTTGGCGGTCACGGACCTGATGGTCGCCATTCTAGTGATGCCGCTTGGGATACTCACCCTCGTCAGAGGTGAGCTTTAGATGGACTTCATCTTTACTCTATGCATCTCATTTTGTTTATTTTTTCTATTAGACAATATTCATCCAACCATCGGACTATCCCAATTTGACAAAATTTTGCCAAGTTTGAACCTAACCACGAAAGCGAGTCGACGAGTATTAGCGGACGTTCAGTGTCTCTCATAATGAGAACGGTGTCCCTTTCTGTTCTCTGAAATTTCGCCGCCTCGAAATTAAAGTATTCCACCCCGTTTTTATATTCCGAAGTCTCGACAGATTGAATGAAAAAGGAAAATAGTCGTTGTTCGTTGTTATTTTTTTTCTATTAGACAATGTTCACCCAACCATCGGACTATCCCAATTTGACAAAATTTTGCCAAGTTTGAACCTAACCACGAAAGTGAGTCGACGGGTATTAGCGGACGTTCAGTGTCTCTCATAATGAGAACGGTGTCCCTTTCTGTTCTCTGAAATTTCGCCGCCTCGAAATTAAAGTATTCCACCCCGTTTTTAAATTCCGAAGTTTCGACAGATTAGATGAAAAAGGAACGAACTGGTCGTTTGTTCGTTAGTCCACTTTTCCGCAGATATCGATAGGAATTTCTTTCGTTGGATAAATCGAACATGCCGTGTTCGAGCAGTAATTAAAAAATGTCAGATTCCCTCAACAATTTTCATTAACGGCAGACTGCGATCCAACTGCCGCGCCATTTGTTATAAAATACCGCTCGAAAGTATTTGATCGCGATGCACGATTTAATGAATAATGTTAGGTACATAAATGAACTCGGTGCCGTTATAATCGATCATTTGTGATTTTAATTCAAGTAAAAGTATGAATTGCCAACTTTCGGACCTAATAATCATCGTGATAAATCTATGGTATATGCACAACGTCTGCATTACGATCTATCTATGTTTACGAAGCTTTTATGCTGTTTTTCTTCTAACAGATTACAAGTATGCTTGGTAATTGTAACAACTGTGGAAGAATAACAGTAAGCAAATGTTCATCAGATTTAGAATTTCTAGTGTTCCAGCGAACGGAACAGATCTTCTATTAAGGCAATTGTTTTCGGAAAAAAAAATTGTTGATTGACTAAGATGCTCACGTGTCCGAGGTACTTCCCTCCTTAAATGGACCTATTTTTTTTCTGATTAGGCTGGTATTCTTATTTCGCTAAATGAACTTGAACTTGAACTAGTTCTGATCGGTTATTGGAGAAGCCGAAGTGGCCGTGGAACGAAACACGTTATAGTCGCATCAAATTTGATGCATTACGCAGTTTAGTTATAAATGAGATCTAGACGGGCGGTGGCATAAGTCCAAGTTTATCTATTCTGAGGTATCAGACGTTCTGGAACCTACGCGACCTTTGCCGGGCTCCTCCCACCGAACTATGTTTCCCTAGGTCGTCTTTCATCGTTTGCTTATAGCAGAGTTGCACGAACAGCATGGATTTTTCAATAGGATCAAACGCGAGCTATTCGCTTTCTCTGTTTACTTTTGTCGACGTTTACCACTTGCTACCGTGCCTCTCCAGCGTGAAGATTTATGAAACGTTTCTCGATACGCGATAGCGAGGATTCCTTCCGCCCTTACAGAGATTCTGAACGTGTTCGACGCTGTCACGAGCGCGCTTCGTGCACCAGGGAGAAATGTATTCAGTCAAAAAGACGGGAAAAAAATGAAAGAAATAGGTCGATCAGCCGATCGACTTGAAGACTAAAAAATTGCGTTGGAGCAATGTTAACGTTGGAAACATTTATTCTAAGGAAAATTCAATGGGAAGGTCCTTCTGCAATGTACGTTAAATATTATAGTCGTATAAATATAACATTATAGAAATTATTATCTGTATATAAAATATTGTAAGAGTAAGTTTCAAGTTAGGTTTACGGAGTAAAGAATCCACTAAACATTTTTGCATCGTCTGAATCACTCGACATTAGTCATGGATTTATTACTGAATTTTGTTAACCATGCTTGTATTATTATATATGAATTCTGGAATCTACTTAAAGAAGTTGCTTGTCTATCGCTCGCTGAATAAAATTGTGCTCGACTTTGAGTGCTCGGCAAAGCCCTGTTTCCAAACTTTAAGAGCCAGTGTAGTCGAAGTTGAAACCTTTGTTACCCTGACAAATGTTGGGCCATGGTGAAGGTTCGCTTAATTGATTTAACTTCGTAACAAGTTGGGGATACTCGACCACTTTGCTTCGTTACACGTTTCCTTCAGTTAAAATAACATTATCCCATACTTCGTCCGAGTGAAAAACAGATGTTCGCAAAGTCTGTTGAAAACTTTATTTGTATCATTACTCCATAAGTCTCTTTGATAAATCTAATCTGTAAAATTTATTCTCCAAAAAAAAAAAAATGGTCCATGGAGCCTTATTTTTCGTTGTCTGAAGCATTTACCAGAATTGTTTCCATTTTGGCGGCCGCGCTGCGTTCCAAGCGACGCACGAAGGGAATCGCTGATTGTCTTCATTCGAAGAAAGTGCTCTTGTCAAAGGGCAACGTATCGAACTGACGTTTTCACGGCGGTAAGAGCGAGATAGCGAGAAACCAGAGACGAATGGCTCATCCGTCGAGCTAGCAGAAATTGCTCAGATGCCAGGAGACGTTCGAGTGAGTAATGTCGGTGAAATTGTCGGAAACGTAAGTGGCCAATTTGTAGCACCCTCGATTCCACGAGTCGCACATTTTTCACCTACTTCCCAAGTTGTTTCAACTGAATGTTTTAACAATACCTGATCGCCCATCTTCGAACGGACGAAGACTATTTATCGAATGCGGTGGTGGAACTTCTCCCTCCGACAATTAATTTCTTCATTTATTTAGAAACACTGAAAATGGTCTCCCCAAAAAAATAATGAAAAAATAACCTATGCAAAGATAGATTTAACGTATAAAAGTGAAAGAGAAATATATGTTCCATCGTTAAGGGTGAAATAGGGTGAAACAATTTTTTGAAAATTGTACTTTCACCTAGTGGATTATTAGGTTATAAAGAATTAGTCGAAACAAAATTTATTACACATTCCGTTACTACTATCAAGCATCATATTACTATAAACGGTTTAAGAACAAAATATGTATTTATTTCCTTCGACGTCTCCAAACGTGGATGCAAGTAGAAACGACGAGTAATGGTCAGACACGCGTCGGCCAAATACTGAATTTCACCTGCACTGCTATGGATGCTCAAACTCGATATCTTTTTGGTATCTATATTTCACGGAGTATCGTAAATTCAGAAGAAGTGGAATCGTTAATCTGAAAGCTTGTCTTCGACATCACCGCCGTTACATCCTTCTACTACTAAAAATGTCCGCGCAACAGAGAGCAAGAGATATCGTCGGTAACTCGATCGTGAACGTTCCCGTATAACTATGAATGAGTTTCAGCTCGATAAATCAGATCAGTCACAAGACAGCTTAGGGGTTAAAGGCGTCTGATCCGAAGATAATCTAGAGGAACAATGTCGTGGTTGAACTATGAATATTCAGTGTCGACAAAGGCGTAAACGCGACCCTCGACGGAACTTTCCGATCGATAATGGCGTATCCATCGCACGCAAGAGTGACGACACGTCGAGAATCTATCGTCAAAGATCGTGTACAGGTATTTATCAAAGTGTGGGAACCGCGTCAGCGGTTATTGCACTAATTGAGCTTCTTGACACTTTGTTTACATTTCACAATCGTGTCGTAACTCTGCTCTTTTTCTGTGACTGGTCACTTTAACACGTTGGTCGCCACGTCACCCAGAAATGGGTGACAGGCCTTGTCATTAAGGAACTAATAAAATGAATTTCAAAGACGAGACAATAATGAAAATAAATCTGGACAGGATTCGTAAATTTGACGAAGTTAAAAAATTAAATACTATGACACGTTACGCTATCCAATTTTTAATAGTTTCTAGAGAAAATCTTAACTTTATTGAAATTTTTCCGAGTCTTAGCTCGGCAGCCAACGTGTTAAATTGTAACGCATAACTTTTCATCTCTATAGGGACCCGCTAGCTCTCCTATATTCCATAACTTCTCGTCTCTTTGTCTCTTGACAACTCATCTCTGTGGGGGCCCACTGGCCCCCCTCTAGCTCGGATACCTCGGACTTCCTAAACCCGTACCCGTAGCTTAAAAAACACCGCTACAGCCCCTGAGGTCAAGGATCGTATAATCGTGATTTATATCGGATTCAACCGCTTTCACGATCCTCTTTACAAATTGTATTCGTGATCTGCGGATCTTTATGCAAAATAAAATCTTCGCGAAGGTGCCTAGAAAAATTGAATCTAAATAGAAATTTACTTTATCCCGCAAATATTATAACATGAACTTTACTTTCAATCTTTCTTTAGATTCTTGCCCATTGTTCGCATTTTGTGGTTTCATGCACATTCAAATTTCCTATGAATGCATAAAGATCCGCAGTCTAGTGATCACAAAATCATCGGAAAGCGACGATCTGTTTGTATCTCGAAGTTTCCGAGAGTTTCTCTTTTAAAAAGAATTGTTTAAATGCTGAAAATTGGATTTTGGCCACGAAATGCCGTTACCCAGACCACTCTGCACTTTGCCCAACGAAAGTGTTGCGTTTCGGTATCTGGCTGGGGCGTTCTGTGTGTCCTGGTCAAACCTTCCCCTCCCTCCCCTTTCCCACAGGCAACAGAGAACAGAAGGCTGTTCGGTTAATTGTAAATCGAACAACGACACGCTGGTCACGCATAATTCCCCGAACACGTTGCCAGTGATTTTGATATCGATGGAAGCGTTCCATTGATCACCCGTCTCGCTAATTTACGCGTATAATTGATACAACCTAGACGAGTCAGGTAGAGGAAACCAGGTTCTATATTTTCATTATTGAATCGGTGTATTTATACAACTGGTTGCTTTCGAACGAATCTTCTTCTTTCTTATAATTGTCATAATTAATTCGTCGTTGCTGTATGTTCTACATCGATTTTGAATTTCTGTTTATATTTTATATTGG